ATCCAGTGAAAGGACCTTTTTCATAATCGAAAAGGTCCTTTCACTGGATGTGAACTCCATTAGACCATGACTATTTCACATCCATTGAAAGGACCTTTTCCATAATCCAAAAGGTCCTTTCAATGGATGTGAACTCCATCAGACCATGACTATTTCACATCCAGTGACAGGACCTTTTCCATAATCCAAAAGGTCCTTTCACTGGATGTGAACTCCATTAGACCATGACTATTTCACATCCATTGAAAGGACCTTTTCCATGATCCAAAAGGTCCTTTCAATGGATGTGAACTCCATCAGACCATGACTATTTCACATCTATTGAAAGGACCTTTTCCATAATCCAAAAGGTCCTTTTACTGGATGTGAACTCCATTAGACACCATGAATATTTCACATCCATTGAAAGGACCTTTTCCATAATCCAAAAGGTCCTTTCACTGGTTGTGAACTCCATCAGACCATGACTATTTTACATCTATTGAAAGGACCTTTTTCATAATCCAAAAGGTCCTTTTACTGAATGTGAACTCCATCAGACCATGACTATTTCACATCCATTGAAAGGACCTTTTCCATGATCCAAAATGTCCATTCACTGGATGTGAACTCCATCAGACCATGACTGTTGCACATCCATTGAAAGGACCTTTTCCATAATCCAAAAGGTCCTTTCACTGGATGTGAAAAAGTCAAAACTTTTCGATCATGAACGAGGTTCTTTATGATGTGAAATAGTCATGGTCTAATGGAGTTCACATCCAGTGAAAGGACCTTTTGGATTATGTAAGTGGTCCTTTCAATGGATGTGAAATAGTCATGGTCTAATGGAGTTCACATCCAGTGAAAGGACCTTGTTCATAATCGAAAAGTTAAATGTTTTGCTTAAGGCAAAGGAAATAAATAAATCATAATAAAATAGATAAATAGAAATTTAAGGACGTTCGCGGGGAAATGAAGTTGCAATCAGAATTTTTTAAACTCTGCATAGCATTATCACAACATATTCTTGTTCAAAAAATGAAATGAAAAAGAAGGTCACCGAATTCGCTGAGGAAATATGGTATTCATCGAGGGTAAAACGCGCGCTATAGAGTAACCTGAGGGATCAAAAAAACACTTCGAAAAACAATCAAAGAAATGCAGAAAACAAATTCATGTCCATAAAATATGACTTTCTTTAACATTTCTGAATTAAAAGCATGTAAGTAAGATGCGATGCTGACAAAATGCGTACAATTCGAATTCGCTAACAGGTGGACTTTTTGCCTAAATTTGGTGTCAATCATTCCCTTGAAATCAGAATTTTTTTTAGATTTACATATTTTGTAGATTTTTATAGTATCTTTATTTTAAGACAAAGAAAAATGGGGGTCACGGAACTGTTTTCCGAGATATTTTGCAGTAAAGAAGTGAAAAATGGGTTTTCTTGATACTTTGCTTAACAAAACATTAAAATGACGTCATTAAACTCATGTGTAGAAAAGCTTAGTCCAGAACTGGACCCACTTTTCACAATCGTGTTTATTGTTTTGCGCACGCAATAATCCTCTGAGCTCTGATTCTAAAAAAAATAATGATTGTGAAAAGTGGGTCCCACTTTTATCGCGTCCCGATCCAGATCTTCTTCTCATATTTTTACCGCGCGCGCGCAGATAAAAGTGGGTCCAGTTCTGGACTAAGAAAAGCTGCGCGCGAAGAATGCCCGCGAACTTCCTTAAAAGGATGAATAAGCATGAAGAGTGAGTTAGTAATCAAAAATATGATGTTCATATACAAATCATATACTCACTCGTAGGGCAGGATTGTATATTACACGACATAGTCTGGGTATTAGGGCCAAGCTGTGAGCAATCGCGTCCTTTTCCTTCTGGTTTAGGACTAGTGCAGGAACGCTTGCGCATTTTACTCCCTCCTCCACAAGGACTGCTACACTTTGACCAAGTAGACCACGAAGCGTACCCTCCGTTGATATCTGGTTCGCCTGGTTCAAAAAATGAAAAAACGTTAGAAATGCAAATAAACGTTTCATAGGTTTTGCTTGGTATCAATCAGCTAAATGGCATTCATGAATCTCGTTAACAGCAGTTTGCATTGACAAATGAACACTGCCCGTCATGTGCCATCAACCAGAGAGTATTCTATTGCTTTGTATCAATCAGCTGAATGAATCTCATGAATCTCATTATCAGCCTACAATGACAGGCAAACACTGCCCGTCAGGTGCTATTAACCAGAGAGTATTCTATTGCTTGGTATCAATCAGCTGAATGAATTGCATGAATCTTATTACCAGCCTACAATGATAGGCAAACACTGCGCGCCATGTGCTATCAACCAGAGAGTATTCAAATTAGTTTGCCTATTTTGAGACATCGTTTTCACCTTGCCTTGTCTACCCAACACCTACCTTTCAAGCGATAAATATAATTAACATTCAATCCTCCCGTACATTCTTGATCCAATGTCTTGTCACATGGCTTTAGTGGCAGTTTAAGATACTGGTAGGTTGGGCTTCCTGCGCCGTGCATGTTGTAGCGTTGCTCGGCACCAGGGCCACTCCAGCATTCGCCAAAATTTTGTAACCCGAAAACTTTCCAGCCTCGTTCTCGTGTCTTGGCCGCGCATCGACAAGCAAGACTGGGAAGAAGTTCATAAGAAAAACCATAACATTAACATTGATAATTCGTAGGTATACCAAGATTACAATAATAAGTCGTAGCCGGCTTGTCCCTCCGCTGATGCTTCGGGTTCGAGTGAAATGGTTCTGGTATGTAGGTGGGTTACCTGTGTATAGACGCTTCCCATTCGTCCCAATCTAAAATATGACCATCATTGACGTCACTTGTTGCCATGGTATCACTCAATAGAAGAGTATTCAAAGCCCTTGTATCATCGTCAACCTCGGCGAATCCTCCGATCTTTTCGTAGCTCCGTTTGCATGTTGTATGCGGCAACGCCCCTAGCACTGGAAATATTCAAACGTTATAAAATATTTATACAAGAATGCACTTTTCACGCGGAAATGTTTTGAGATCTTCAAGGACATCAAATATTGCTGGGATTCATTCAGCTGATAAAAGTCGTTGAATCTCATTATCTGCTCCAAATGGTGGTTAAATACTGACCACCATGTGCTGTGAGAGAGAAAGAATTACTGGGCTTCAATCAGCTGATAAACGTCTTTGAATCTCACTATCTACTACAAATGGTGGTCAAACACTGACCACCATGTGCTGTCAGCCAGAAAGAATTCTACTGCAATTCAGCTGATGAACATTCCGCACGAGACAGGAAATGACGTCAAGTCAAAGCCCGCAATTGGGTGTTTCTTGGGAAGCTTTATTGTATTCTAGGTTAAGTTTCTTGTTTTGCAGGGTATTGTTTAGCTCCAAATTCATAATCCTTGGCTATTGTTTCGTTTTCTTCGTGCTTCAGGTGCCTTGTAACACCAAGAAAGAGCCCAAGTACTTTCTTTAAACGACAATCAAACAGACTCACCTACTTCAGCGAGACCCAACAGCAATAACACTTGATTAATCATCATAAGCCGCATATTGATGACTAATATACTGAATATAAACAAAACGACTTGAATCAATTGATGGCAAAAACACTTTTGCAGACTTATGGTTTGCAATTTCTTTGTTTTCACCCGCTGCATTGGATCTTCTTATTTTTTTCATTTCAAGCCACATGTCATTCCCTAGAGTATCATTTCTTTGTTTAACGGTTGCGCATGAGAAGGCACATGAATATGTATACAAGTCAAACATAGAATCTTATTCTCAGGTAGTCTCTGTGAGTTATATATGTTGATGGAATTAATTCCTGTCCAAACTTTCCCGCCAAAACGCGCGTTCTACTTCTGGGTCTTTCATTAAGAAAAGAAACTCGAAAATAACCCAATGAAAAGACAATACTGTTATACAAAAAAAATCTTATAATTCGTAATTTCATAATTCTTAAATTTGATTGTGTTTGACAACTTATTAAGTAAAAATGTCAGTATTTGTTTAAGGTTATTAAAATATTTACAGCTTGTTTGCTCGTTAATTTGGGATCTTGAATTAAAAAGATGATTGAAGGACAGAGAATGTTGAATGTTGCTCAGGTAACTGGGGTCGATTTTTATAGAAAATATTAGATAAAGGAGAAGAAGAAGAAGAAGAA